ATGATGCGATCTTTTGTTTCAAAATAACCTAACTTATATAGTTCACTGATCACTGATGATTTGTATGGTATTGATTACTATTTGTAATATGTATGTATGTTAGTGTATGACCGCGGTGTGTGAGCTCAGGTCCGTGAGTTTGCTAAGCCCAGTGATGCGATGTTTCCTACCGGGCTCCCGGCTTCCGAGCCCCACACAAGCGAGAAGCGTGTCATGTACTGCGCGGAACACTTTGCGCAGCACATGTATGCGCTTCTCGCTTGTGTGGGGCTCGAGAGCCAGGAGCCCGGTAGGAAATATCGCATCCCTGGCGCAGTGCTTGCATTAAAATTTTTTTTTTTTATCGTGAAAAATTTAAATTTTTAATCGTTTATTTCTTGGAAAAAAATTAAAAAAAAAACAAAAAAAAAAGTTTTAAAATTAGCCCGAAAAAAGAAAAAAAAAATTATAACTCTATCAACGGGTGAACCACCACTTTAACATGGTGATGGAGCTTGAATTCTAATGATCTCAGAAAACAGGTGAGGAATTGAACTAAGAGAAACTCATCGTAACTCATAATAACGTTGAAAATGCAATTGGAGCATATTTGAATTCGTAAAAGCCAAATAAAAATCAATACCCAATAAACATTGGAACATTCTATGTACGTCCTATGTATATACATATATGTATATTGTATATTCTATGTATATACAGAGAATGTGAAAAGTATATAAAGCGCATATTCTATGTATGTGAAATAATTACCACATATATGTACATAGGATGTTCATAGTACATACATAAGTATATTCCAAAGATATGCAGTGTACATTCGTGGTATATACATGGGGTATATTCCGAGGATGTGCAGTGCACGTTCGCAGTATGTACATAGGATATATTCCGAGGATGTGCGATACACATTCGTGGCATGTACATGAGGTACATTCTATGTATGTACATAGTATATACAGTACGTTTTTTTCACATTATGAATATTCCACGTATAAAATAGTATACATAGGATATCGAATGTTTACTGGGTATATGACAAAAACACTTGGCCCAATGTAATTAATTAAATAATAAAATAATTTTTAATTTAAATAATTTATTTCATAACGTTAAAAATTTTATGGAAAGTGGAGTCTACACTGGAATCCACTCTTAAGTCAATAATAAACAATTTTCATTCATTCGGATATTTATCTACCCAATTTTTTAACAATCAGTTTATCTAAATTCCCTGTGTTGGGATTCAGAATTTAAACTGATAGAAAAAGTTATTACATCTTCAATATTATTACCCGCCTTTTGCAAGTTTTATATAATTCTCATGTTTAAAACTTAAATACGAGATAGATAGCGCATAATGCGTCACATAGCCGCAAGCGAACGAACTAATGACTGATTCTATGTATATCCATACGATATCTTATGTATATCCATAAATGTATGTAGGAGTACAAATTAGTTCGGTCCGTTTTTTTGTGTTCAAAAATGCATTTATTTCAAAACAAAATGAATGAACAGATTAATTAAAGTATTGTCCATCGCTGGCTACTACTTTTTCCCATCTCTCAACCAATTTTTGAATTCCATCTCGAAAAATGACTCGTCTTTGGAGGCGATCCAAGTTTGGAACCAATTTTCGATTTCTGCGAAAGAAGTGAACCGGTGACCTGCCAAATTGTGCTGTATCTTTCGGAACAACCAGTAATCAGAAGGAGCAATGTCCAGAGAATACGGCGGGTGCGGTAAAACATCCCATTTGAGCGTTTCCAAATATTTTTTTACGACTTTTGTGACATGAGGCCGAGCGTTGTCATGAAGAAGAATAACTTTATCATGTCTTTGCTCGTATTCCGGCCGTTTTTCTCACAATTCACTGCTCAAACGAACCAATTGAAGCCGATACCGATCGCCCGTAATGGAATCGCCAGGTTTCAGCAGCTCATAGTAAACAACACCCTTTTGGTCCCACCAGATACAGAGCATGATCTTCGAACCATGAATGTTCGGCTTTGGTGTTGATGTTGAGGTCGATGGCAACGATTGACCGGGCTTAGCGTAGTATTTTTTCCTCTTGGGGTTGTCGTAGAATATCCACTTGTTATCTCCAGTCACAATCCAATGCAAAAAACCTTTTCTTTGTTGCCTTTGAATCAGCAGCTCGCAAGTGAAAAATCGTCTTTCAACGTCTCTCGGTTTGAGTTCATAAGGCACCCAATTTCCTTGTTTTTGTATCATTCCCATGGCTCTCAATCGTACAGAAACGGCTTGTTGAGTTACTCCCAATGATCCTGCAAGCTCCTCTTGCGTTTGACTCTGATCTTCTTCGAGTAATGCCTCTAATTCTTTGTCTTCGAATTTTTTTTGGTTGTCCAGAGCGAGGCTTGTCTTCAACGCTGAAATCTCCATCCTTGAAATGTCGAAACCATTCCCTACGTGATTTATCAGTTGCAGCAGTGTTACCATAAACTTCGACAAGCATTCGATGGGCTTCAGCTGCACTTTTCTTCCAATTAAAGCAGAAAATTAAAACCTCCCGCAAATGCTGCTTGGTTAGCACAAAATTCGACATTTCGAACACAGTAAAAATCAAGGTTTTTGTATGAAACTCAAAGCGATATAAACTGAATATTATTAGCAGATGTCTAACCTCTCTGAAACCGCCAAAATCAGCTGTCACTATGAACCATTCACAACAGCCAGAGTATCTTTTGGAAAACGGACCGAACTAATTTGTACTCCTAATATCTACCTCAGCGTATACCTCGTATGTATATACGTTTGATGTATATACATGGAATGTACACGAGGTATATTCTATGTATATACAGGCAGCGATCTCGTTCGAATATACATTCTATGTATATCTATAAGATATCTTATGTATATCCACAAATGTATCTACATCAGCGTATATCATATGTATGTACGTAGTATATACAGTACATTTTTTTCTCATTATGGATATTCCATGTATATACATAGGATATCGAATGTTTACTGAGTAATTATATTTAAAAAATGACATTTTTTGAAAATTTTCAAAAAAATTTTTTTTTAATTCCAAACAAAACTTATTAGTGCCCTGAACATCCCTGATAAATTTTATTAGAATCAAACGAGCTATTTAGAAGTTATGGAATTTAACCCTTAGTCTCGACTCATGGGTCGTTTTCGACCCAAGCGAAATTTCAAAGTGCTGTAATTTTTGAAAACGGGTACGGAACGCGCCATATCCCCTACCTAAAAAAATAATTTTTATCGAAATATTATGATTGGGACTTTAAGTTGAAGGTTGAAAAAAGCTCCATGAATTTTTTCAGATTTTTTAAAGCGTTTTTACTGATTCAAATAACGCAAAGACGCAAACGACCCATGAGTCGGGATTAAAGGTGCCGAAAAGAACCGTCGGGACTAAGGGTTAAAAATAGGAAAGTTACTTTATAACCACCCTGTATTAATACTATGAATAGTTGTCCAAATATTTCTGGACGTGAATCTAATCCCAGTTCTTTTTTTTGTTTTCCAAAAGATTCAGATAGGTAAAAATGATTTTCATTATTGAGTTTATTGTTTATTGAATTATATCAAATGTTTTCTCATTAACATTTTATACAAAGCGTCTTTTGAAGCAAAATTGTGGTTGAAAAAATGTAATCGCGAAATTAACACGTTACCAAAAAATTTATATAAAAATTACAAAGTTTGTGGTCATCATTTTAAATCGTCCATGTTTTTAAATAATTTGAAAAACAGACTTCAACCACATGCAATCCCCGAACTTGTGAAAAATGATAATGAATCTTTTGAGTTATCAAGTTGAAACAACGCAACATTCAATTTGAATAATAAATCTGAAGAAAATACATTGATATCAGGTAGGCATTTTGAACTCGTTGGAAATATCAGAAATTTGGTGAACATAATTATTATATTTCAGTCGAGTGTGACATCACTGAATCTAACTGTGATAAGCAACGATTTGAAACCGGATTTTCAGACAAGGTTGAACGTCAATTGATATCAGGTAACAATTTTAGTTCAATATGGAACTAATGCTAGTAACATAAAATTTCAGTGAATCGGAAACTAAAATGCCATCACTTTTTATATATAATTATCACAATTTATATGTTCGTTTCTTGTTCTTTGTTTGCTGCTCGTTCTTTTCTCGTGATGAATATATTAACCATGGACTAATAATAACCAATGTTTTTGCTACATTTTCCCTACAAGAATAATTTTTTTGCTCCAACGAATAAAAAGTTACGAAGAACTAGATGGCTTAAGCTTAAACTATCGAATTCGTTGTAAAAATAGCGTACACATATATCGGAACTCACGATTAATTATACCATAATTTTTTGCTATTTTTTTGCTACATTTTCCCTACAAGAATGATTTTTTTGCTCCAACGATTCAAAAGTTACGAAGAACTAGATAGCTTAAGCTTAAGCTATCGTCATTCGAGTACATAATTTTATACGCGATACGTCGCAACATACTAGTGATATATTTCGAACGATTGAATAAGAAAAAAAGGACTTATTAATTGTTTCTTTGATTGAATATAATTTCTTTTTACAACCCTGTAATGACACGATCGAGCTGCGTGATAAGATACATATCCGTGAGAGATACCGTAGAGAATGAGATGTGTGCAGTGTGACGTCGCGACGCGATAATCCCACGTTCGATAAACTGGAGACGCGTTAAATTGACATGTAGAAATAAGTATGTTGGAATGGCGAGACGACATCGAGAAGATGCATCGAGAAGGTGCATGTCGAGAGAAAAGAAAAAAGACGGAATGATACTCGGCGGTAGGATGATGAGCGAGAGACGCGATGCGAACGCGTTGCCGGAAGTGTTAGGAGTTGCGAGCTGAAAGAGGAAGGTTTGCCTGATAGTGCGAACGGTAGAACGCGAGGTGAACGGGTGAGCAAAGGGTGGTGGGAGGTTATAACCGGCGACTGGTGGATGGCAGAGAGGGTGAAACTCGGGGAGTTAGCGGAAGAGAAGGGGTTTGATACGAACTGTAGGTAGCTAGCCATGGCTCAGTTTGCTCTCGTTCCACGTCGCGTGAGGTTTGTATGTGTTTTTTGTTAAAGTTGTCGTTTCACACGCTGATCCATCCGAAAGACTCATCCCCTTCCGTTAGAATTCTGTCTAGTCGAGAAAAGTTTGCGACAAAATTATTTGCGTCAGTGTGTCTCCTTGTAAAGTGCTTGTCAAGTGTGTGTATGAGGTGTTTAAGATTCTCTAAAGTGCTTTGTGCTTTTGGGATAAATTTCGCGCGTGATCGCGGATAGAGGATCATGCTGATAAGAAGCCACTATTGCTTGTTTGCATTGTTATTGTTCGCGTTTGGATGTATTCGAGGTGAGTAGCGATACGATCGTGTCTGTGTGATTGGCAATTTTTACAAAAATATTCGCTTGTAATTTCATCTCTGTTAATCGTCACATACATATAGATAATTCGCGTTTGCATAACATTTTTGTTTCGTGCTGTTTGAAACCGAATAATCAATTTAACACAGTTTAGTTTAATTTAATTCATTGAACGAATCACATATCAATTGTCATAATATTATCATTCTCGAACATAAGGATTATACATTGCGAACACCAATGTGCGATATACGCTATGTTGGTATTTAATGGTATTTTATTTTCGTGTAATAACGTTTCTGTTATATTGAAGGCATTTTAACTGTAATAATTCTAAAACTGTAACTCCGCTAAAATTATTTATAGAGTTTTCTTCTGCAATCGGTCACGATAAAAGTAATATATTCTATATAAATATAAAATATAAGCTATTAAGTTATCAACATTAGTATTATATGTAATAATCTTTTTAGACGTATTATTAACAAAATAGTGCTTGAATGTGATTATCATTAAAATGTTTTGGAAAAACAAAACTTTACATTAATATTTTTAATACGAGTGAATGGAATAATATTATTTAATATTATTTAGTATATAATATAATATTTTTTTGTACGCTTTATGAAAGAAATAGCAATTTGAACCAAAATTCAAAGAAAAGGAATAAAAATTGTAAAATTAATATTTGGATATGTTTGATGCGTAAGATTCGGGTTTTTATTTAATTGTGGACTAAAAGTTGATAACTTTTATAAACGTATGTATATAGAGCTTTATCCATTTTTCTGTAGTTTCCTGGTATTCACATATTCATAGGATGTGCGGTAAGCGGACGCAACCTCGTGTAATATTTAAAGTACTATCAAACGTTTGAGCAGTTGTATAAAAACTTGCTTTTGTTGCGGATCAATTTAAACACAATAGATCGTACGATATGTATTAAACGGTGAAATCCACATCTGGCGTATTATCCTTCCGATAAAAGTGAAAAAATATTTACTTAATCGACACACAATTAGATGTAGTTATACGGAGAGAAAAGTTGATATTTTCTCTAGTTCTTTAGTTTTGATTAAATATAGCTAATTTTAAAAATATTAGAAAAAAGCTTTCACAATAATATTAATTATTGAATAAAATAATTGTTTTTTGTGTAATCTTTCTGAAAATTAGTTGTGTAACACACGTTAATAATTAATAACTTGATTATTATTAGTATTATCTATACAAATAGCTATATCATTGTAATAATTTTTGCAGCATACAACAAATATATTAACGGAAATTACATAAAAATTTTGCGTACAATAACATTAAGCATGGATTATCAATAAATAAATTTGTGGACGCGAGATATTTCGGCGTATGATACAAAATTAGTATCTCGACATAAAAATTCCACAGTTCTGATTAGACTTTCGGCTTTCTTTTGAAGAACTCTAAAATTCTATGATATTTGTAAAAAGAGTTCTAGAGCGATTAGTGCTATTATAGTCGTAGTTAAAAAACGGAGTACCAACATCACATTCGATTTTAAAATTGAATAATTCTAAATAGCTCGCAGAACATCAGAGTATTCTGACACATAAAAAATATTTTTGATATCGTATAAAAAAATTTCAAAAATTAATTTTAAGATTAATTGATTCTAGCGATTAATTACAATCTTTTTACGTATATTTAGAAATTTTTTATAATTTTTATATACATTTTTCAACAAATTTTTCCAACAACTTTTAAAAACATTACTTTAAAAAATTACAGTTTTACAACGCAATATTCAGATTTTGACTGCTATCATCACAATTCCGGAATTTGTGGCAAATACTTTAAATGTTTTAAAAATAATTTTTACGGCCGAAACTAATTCGATTAAGAATTAGTTTTCGACAAAATATTATTTTACTTTAAATAATCTCAGTGCGAAATTTGTTCAAATATCGATAAAAATTATTTTTTAAGAATTCCAGTAGTTTTTGCATCGGTTTCGGTTAGTGTTCTAAGTTATGAAAATTGTTATAATGGATTAAATCGATCGGATAAATAATTTTAAAAAGTTATTCGATTGTAAATAATAGGATTTGAAATTACTAAGTTCTTTAGAGTTAAATAGTTTTATTTATTAATCGGATTATTTTTATGTGTTAAAACACACACACACACACACACACACACACAAACTTCATAACTCTCAAAATATATTAAGCAAGATTGATGCGTGAATTACTTGAACTTTAAAAATATTTTTATCGATATTTAGAAAACTTTTGTATCGAGTTTGTTTAGACTCAAATAACATTTAATTATTAACCGATTAGCTTTCGTCATAATAATTTTAGAAGTTTCAATAAACTGACTAGAAATTATGCGAAAACTAATGTATTTGTACTTGTATTTGAAAGAAACAAAAGATAATTTGAAATGTTCTTAGCATGCTCATCGTTCCAAAAGATGTTTGCAAAAGAGGTTTACCAATATTATCAATTTTTTGTACAAATAGTGTTTATCCCTATACAGTATGCCCCATTTTAAGTAATGTGTCTAGAAATTTCGCAATCAAGACACTTTTGGAAAGAAATCTTCAGATATGAAAGTTGTGCTGTTACCAAAGGGACATAAAATGGATGATAAATAGATGGAGGATCAGTTTGATCTTGAGTTCTTTCATTAATGCTAAGTCAAAGTCAACTTGAATCTTTTAAATAAAATTATATATTTTTTCGCATCTTTAAAACTTATTTTTTGTAAATTCTACGACGTGTAAAAAAATATAAGTTGGCATAAAAAGCCGAGTCAGCCTGAAGGAGTCGTTTTACTTTTTAAACATTGAATACTTGTAAAAAATAATGTTTCTTATTTTTAATTACTCTCTAAAACATATACAACATAACAAAGCCTGTCAATAAGAAGCCTGTCGAAGAAGACTACTGTGTTTGTTTTCTTGTTAAAACAAGAGTTGGAATTGAATAGAAAAAATCCAAAGTGATCGATCCCCATGTATCCAAAATACAGAAACCCGATTATATTAGGTGACTACAAAAATTCTTGCCGTTTTTCAATAATCATATTTCCCAAAATTGTTTAAAAACTGATGTAAATGTATCTAATAGTTTTAACATTTACATTGAATGCAATTGCAAGTTCTTGGCGTTAATTTCGAATTTGCCTCGATTGCTACTTTCAATTCATCATTATTCAGAGATGTCGGTCTCCCTTACCAGGAAGCATCTTCCAGGGATCCCCTAATGCAAATTTTTGAAACCAATACCGAGCGGTTCTTTCCTTCCCTGCATTTTTTTTCAAATACAGAGAAATTTTTTCAGCAAGTTTCTGACGCTTTGGATTCATACGATAAATAACCACGAGTCACGCTCATTTTAACAGACATTTTAGGAAGTTCAAACATTTATTTAACTTGAACTTTACAACTTGAAATGCAGTAAATAAATGAAATGAGGTATGTATTTTACGGTGAAAAAAAATTCTTTGCACAATTAATCATGATTGACAGAAACAATTCCGGGAATTGTGACTAACGAAAAACGGCAAGAATTTTTTTGGCTACCTAATATTATTTTAGAATACAAAATATTTAATTTTATAAATATCTTTATTAATAATTTAATTATTTTATTTCAAGTCTTTTGTCATGATTTGATGTTCAATGCTGTGTGTTTGCAAATATTTTGTACAGCAATTGAACGCATATTTCCAAATTTTTCTTTTTCAATAATTTTAACGGAATCGGTCTTAAAAATCTATTTAATTTGTTTTGCGAAAAGTAAAAATAACAAAAAAACACTTTCCTGTTGACAAAGTAAGTTCAAAAAATATTTTTCTATGCAATTCCATATTTCTCGATCGTTGTGATTCAATCGTTGTAAAAATTTACTAAAAATAAAATTATTTTGAAGCGATATCCGTTGTATAATATTTCAGTTTATTTAAAATAATTATGTTAACGATGTAACGACTTGTAAGACTTGTAAAAACAAACGGCATGATATTGGCATTTGCTTGATTAATTTTGAATCCGAGAAATTGTAATCTAAAGATTATTTGAAACCGGAATTTTCTTCATAAATCAGCGATATCTTATGCTCTTTGCGGAGATAATATTCTCTTCGAAAAATATATGAAAAATGCTTCGAAACATCGATAAAATCGGCGCGGAAACTAACGAGGACGAAGGACGCTGATTGTGAGTACAGAGTTGGGTTATCTGTAGCGGACATGACGCACAATTCGTTCCTATCTTTTCCAAACTATATATTTGCCGAAAAAGGTTTCTCGAGTTTATTCAACCCATAAATCCTCTTACTGAGCGCACCTTACATCCGGTTCAATCATTTTAATCTCGTAACTCTATACGCGGGACGAAACCTTAAGCGTTGAAAATCTTTGTGTGGGCGTGTGTATATATTCTCGACACGTATTGCAGCAGCAGGTATCACTTGGTGAGCTATTAAACTCTTGCTCCTTTTCACCTCAACGCGAAACCTTTCTTGCTGTCAAGGATTCTTTGTAACGCGAGAGGCTTGAGTTTCATTCAGTGTTTTGATGTACGCGTCGATGCTATTAAAACCACGTTGAAACAGAAAAGCCAGGCGAACGTGATCTCTACGATTTGTTGCTTCATTCTTGACAATTAGAAAGGTTTTCATTGCTTTGAGTACGTGGCATATAATGCTTCCTGCTGCAAGAGTGCTGAATCATAGAAATTTCTATTTGCAAGAAATTCAATTTGTAAGAAAAGATTTATTGCAATCAAAGTTTCTGCAACAGAAAATTTATTTTTTTCTTCCAATCCAATTCGATTTTTTTATCTGTTCTTATCTGTTATAACAGATATCAATTACGACCGCAAATTCATCAGCGAGATGTCCCCTAAAATTTTTAAATAATTTGATAATAATTGCAAAAAAAATTTTACTCAAATAATAATGTAACATTTTATTTATTTTGAGTATTGTAGAAAAAATAAAG